TCGCTGTGTCGCGTCGCCGTTAGCAACGCCGACAGCGTGATGCGCGTGATCGCTGCCGACGGCTTCATCGCCATGACGACCGAGCAGACGGCAGCACTGGGCGTGGTAGGTGGGTGCGTGTGCGTGTGCGTGCGTGTGCGTGTGTGCGTGCGTGTGTGTGTGTGTATGCGCACATGCATCGTGTGTGTGTGTGTGTGTGTGTGCGCGTGTGTGCGTGCCGTGTGTGCTGCGTCGCGCGTGCGTGCGCGTACGGTGCGTGTGTGTGTGTGCGTGCGTGCGTGTGTGCGGCGTACGTGCGTGTGTGTGTATGCGCACGTGCACCTGTGTGTGTGGTGTGTGTGTGTACCGTGTGTGCGTGGGTGCACGTGCATGCGTGTGTGTTTTCATGCATGCGTGCGCGTGTGTGCAGATGCCAGATGACGAGAGGGAGGTAAAGAGAGAGGAGTAGAGAGAGGGAGGGAGAGGGAGGGAGGAAGTGTGAGAATGAGAGAGGATTGATTACATTATTATTATATTAACTTATTATTGTTTTCACAGATTCAGCGCTCATTAGAGATTTAAAAATTACTCTTGTCTCATGCGAGTGTCTCTTGTCTCAGATATCCTTTGTTTTCTTGTGTTGACCTAGTGCATGCTCTCTTATCTCGAACGATTGCATGCTCTCTTATCTCGAACGATTGCATGCTCTCTTGTCGCGCAGACATCGAGGACGACGAGGAGCCTCTGCCGGACGCCGTCGTGTTGTTCTGGCGCCCCCTGGTGAGGGCGCTGCATTCGCACGGCCTCGTCCCGCTCACCGCCCTCTCCCTGCTCGAGGCGTTGCGCGAGGAGGAGCACGTGGCGCCATCTAGGAGGGCGACCATCCTCAAGTGGGTCGCGAGGATACTCGAGGACAGTAGCTGCAGAGGTAAGCGTGCATGCGGCCGACTCATTGTCGCTTTCATGTTCACGTCACGTGTTATTATTACATGGGTAGAAATTAACTTTTGAACGAGGGAGTCCAACGGACTCCCTGCCCTCAAAAAGATATCTAATAATATTTATATTATATAATATCTGAAAATATTTATCTAAATGTATATATAATGAAAAAAATCTCTATATATATATCTATTAACGACGTATATATTTCTCATTCGCAGTGCTGCCATCGAGTCGTCGGAGAGTGAACCTGTTTGCCCGGCGCACGAAGGCGGCTGACTGGCGACCGGTGCTGCGTCTGCTGCTGCAGCTGCCCTGCCGTCTCACAGCGGCCATGTTGAAAAGGTGCGAAAAAAAGGAGTAAAATATTTAATAACTTTTAATGATGTTTGCAAACGTATCACGATTTGATTCACTCTCAAGTTAGCTTGTGTGATGACCTATATAGTGCATATAAGCTATTAGTTTGTATAACTATATATATACCTATATTCCCAATCAGAGGCCTGCGTCGCACATTATTTTAACCCGGTTTAAATCATACTAAGGCCCTTGTCCCCCATATCGCGAGGCCTTGCTTGCACCATAATCTTAACCGCCTGGTAAAAAAGTACATTATTTCCGACGGTACGATAGCCAACCACATGCTGCGCAGGAAGACGTACGGGTGGAAGAGAAACTGAAATCGAAAAGTAAGTCGTGGTACAGTCGTTGGCCTGCAAGGTGAGACGACAGCCATCGACGGCCAGTTTTTCCCGAGATGCCATCGATTGATCATACATTGTAGATTTTCCTCGGACGGCTCGATCGCGAGATATCGTCGAGGGAACACTGCCTCGCGAGGAGTTATAGGCTTGCTGTTCATTTATTTTTTGCGTACATTTCGGATTTCGTAACAATGCTAGCTCATGCCGATCAGTTGAATATCACCATTTTCAGGGAAAACAACGCTCGTCAGTTCGACATAGCTAGGATGCTCGAACTGACGCTCTTTTATTTTCGTTATAATTTTTTTACATTGTATCCAATGTAGATATAGTAATGAATTTGCATACTTCCAGGTTAATTATAGATTTGCTATCAAAATATTCACAAATGAAATCTCCTGAGCATTCATCAATGTACTGATTTTTTTTCGAGTATAAAGCAATATCGATTTGCTTGTTTGTTTTTTCACGCAAAAAAGCCCCGACTGCGACCAGCATTAATTATTTATAACGACGCGCCTGTTGGTAAAGGTTATGACTATTTATTACCAAAAAATAAAAAATAAAAGCGTATACGGCACATAGCGAAAACCTTATACTAAGCCGTTTGTGTTGTTAATAGAATGTATGCAAGTGATTTCCTTGTATGATCGTTCTAGTCTGCGCTTCGGCCGAGAACATGCCTCTTCCCGGACAACAATTGGCCGATCGTTTCTGTTGAACCTCTACGTTGTCATTGCACACTTTTGTTCAAGGCGACTCCTGCCTTCCTCATTGCCCAGGTTGGCCTTATTCTGAAAGGAGAGAGTGGAGCAGGCTGATAAAACTGATAATTAATTAATTAATTGTAATTTAATTAATTATAGTTGTAACGGTACATTACAACTATACGAATTATAATTGCAATTAATTTAATTGATTGTATTCATTATACCTGCATTTAGATCTCAATAGGCCATGGAGCGTCCACACTGCTTTCAGTATATTTCCCTGCGTTCAATCTCCTCAGACTCTCTCTCTGTAACCTTCCTCTTTACTTCTCTCCAATTCAGTTCTTCCGTGTGGGCTTCCCTGCTCATACTTTTTGCTCAAACTCTACGACTCTCCCGTCCCC